ATCTTGGCCGGAGGTCAAACATTCTTCCATCACTGGTAAAAGCTATTCTTTTAAAATTGCCAAATATTTGTTTGTATCCATATTTCCATCAATAAAATGAAGTTTTCCTACTCGTTTTTCTCTTCAGACAGTCAACATGGAATGCTTTATTTTTTGCGAATAACACTACTGCGACTGTCAGCAACACAAACTTCGAATCGGGCCTCATCACTTCATTGTATTGCACACCATTGTTGAGATGTCCATTATCTATGTTCTTTAGCCCATCTAAGCTGATTTTCCTTTTGCAGTGGAGTTAATAGTGGCTTTTCTTTGGTCTATAAACAAGTTGTGCAACTTTAGGGTTTTTACTTCACTTTTTTTATGAAAAAACTTACCTTGCAAGTGCTAAATCCCAGTTTGTGGGCCTCTCTATGAGTTGTGGACCTCGAAATTCTCCTTCCAACAGCGTCACTCCACAGAGCACTTAATTGTAAATAATTGGCACGCCTGTTTTCCACGATTATTCTTCTTAATGCTCTTCGGTCGGCATTTGTGATATTACTTTTTTTCACATATCGTGGCTTAATATTAACTGAACCAGTTACGTTATATCTTCTAAGAATATTTCTCACACTGTACCCCGATAAGTCTAACAAAGCTGCATTTTCTGAGTTTGATTTCCCAGAATTAACAAATTTAATCATCAGTAACCGAATTTTCTCACTAATAACCTTTCCTCTACCCATTTTGAAAAAGTCAACTACCCAAAACTATTTGAAACGTATTCTGACAGCTGTGATTAATAAAAAAAAATTTTCATGGCTTTTATTTTTCACAGCCGCCTATGCGTTATAGACTTATTTTGCATTGAAATGAAAATAGGTTGATATGCTGTAATTGCAACAAGTGTTATTTTTATGCTGCAAATTTGATTAGGGACTGATAAAGTTGTTGTTTTCTACTATATATTATCAAAATATTCATTGTTAATATTTGAAACCTATAACACCCTGCTACATTTTTATTATTTGTGCTTGATAAGAAAAAAAAAACAAAGATTTCAATAGTTGGGCCAACTGAAGTGGGAAGGGGCTCGTAGTTGTTTGCAGACTATGTGTACAACGAATGTTGCGTGTGGAGTATGTCGCGCGACTTTTTCGTTACGATCTTTCAGCGTTGCCTCTTTAGCATCAAGTTGTCAAAAAATTAAATGTATTTTATTTTATTCTATACAAGCTTGGAGTCAGCCACTATTACCAGAAATATCATTTTACACGTACATTTGCCCCTTAATTTTTCGTAATTGGTTGACTATACGACAAATTCTTATAGGAGCAAGTAGTGAAGAAATTCCCTACAAATTGTTTCCACTACTTTTTGCATAGCGTGAATGGTTTTTGAGATTTTCGGTCAAACGCGTTTATCAAAATGGCGGCAAATGCACAAGCCCTATCATCACTTGGATTTGAACTTATAATTAGGAAGCAATAACCTAACCAAAAAATTTACTGTCGCCCGAATTGTAGGATTTTCTTAAAGAAGGTGTTTTCAAAGTTGAGTCGTTTATTTGAACAGCTTGTAGAACGAAAAATCACCTATATAAAACTTGCAGAATTTACATTATTAAAAATCATTCGAAAAAAAAATCATTATCAAGTTAAATGGATACCGTTTCTACAAAAACTGTTCAACTGTCCCCATTTGTTGGATTAACGCAAAATTTGCCTCGGCAAATCCCCGACTCTTCAGAAGCTTCGAAAATAAAATCTCGAGCAACTTCGCGCAAATCTTCCAGAGTATTTACTGCTTCATCACGGTGCACTAACTCTTTCGAATAGCCCCACAGAAAAAAATCGCAAGGCGTTAAATCTGGGAAGCGAGCAGGCCAAGAAATGGGTCCATTTCGCCCTATCCATCTTTTAGTTAGATCTTCATGAACTTTTCGTCTAAAATGTGGTGGAGCCCCATCATGTACGAACCACAGATTCTGTCTCACATTAAGAGATCTGCGAAAAAAGTAGGGTCCAAGAAGCATGCCATTTACCACGCCAGCCCAAACATTTAATGAAAACCCATGTTGAGAATGAGTTCGTTTTACAGCACGCGGATTTCCTACTGCCCAAACATGATTGTTGTGGAAATTGTGCACCCCATTTCGTGCAAATGTGGCCTCGTTTGTACACAAAATTAATTTCGTAAAATGTTCATTTCACTGGCAAAATGCAACTCTTTTAGGATGATCTTCAGGTTGTAACGCTAGTACCCGTTGATAATGACAAAGATAATACTGATTTTGTCGTATCGTCTTCCACACTTTACTAAGAGAAGCCCCAGCTTGAGCTGCCATGGCTCTAGCACCCATTGTTGCGTCGTCATCATTTCTTAAATGTCTTCCTCAACTTGTAACATTTCAGGTTGAGCAGATCTAACAGCGTGACTTCCTCGTTGTTCTTTTAAATATCCTGTGTCACGAAGTTTAATAACTAATTTTACAAATATCCGCGGACCGGATGATTAAAGGAAACCTCTCAGCGTACAGCACGCATGCTACGGTTTTATTTTGTTGGCACTCTTCGTTTGTTAGCATTATGTCCACTAGTTAGTTGTTTTCGAAAACATGGGTCAATTTTTCGCACAAGATATCACACAAAAGTAAGTGTTCGCACTATTGAAAGACTCGTACAAGCATCGAACTAAAGACTCGTACTGGAAACTATATATACTAAGTGACATATAAATCCGAACACCCAGTTTAAATGGTTTTATGTTAATAAAATTTTGTATAAGTACATAATGAAGCATAGTAAGTAAATGATAAAAATTTCAAAATCATTGCACTGCTTTAAAGCCTTTTTTATACTCATACATTTCTATGTGGATGACATACAAATTTATAAAGCATATAGACCAAATAACATAAATGCACTAATAATGAACCTCAATATGAATTTAAGGATTATAGAAAATTATTCAAGGAATTACTGCTTAAAACTTAACCCCTCCAAAACTAAAGTTTGTTGCCTTGGTTCTAGGTTGATTGTTTCAAAGTGTAAACAAACAATTAATACAGATATAGTTTTAAATGGAACCATTATTGAAATTATGGATGAAATTAAAAATTTAGGAATAATGTTAGACACAAATTTATGCTTGGAGGGCCATGTTCTAAGTAAACTTAAAGTATGTTATTTTAAATATAAGTCTTCCTAGAGATTCAAGAATTTACTGCCAAGTGATATTAAAGCAAGACTTGTTAATTCACTAATTCTAACACGCCTAGATTATGGAATTACAGTTTGTTATAATTTTCTGACAGAAGAAAGAGAGCATAAAATCCAAATCTTTCAAAATTGTTGTATGAGGTTTTGTCACAGCGATTGCTTTTTTATGCTACCTTGCATTATAAAATTCTAAAATATATACTAAGTGACATATAAATCCGAACACCCAGTTTAAATGGTTTTATTTAATAAAATTTTGTATAAGTACTTAATGAAGCATAATAAGTAAATGACAAAAATTTCAAAATGATTGCACTGCTTTAAAGCCCTTTGACCTTTAATAATGTGTGGATGCACCCTGATGTGCTACGCATTCTCCAACGCGCCTAGGCATGCTTCTGATCCGGTGGTCAATGTCCTCCTGTGGTATCTCATTCCAGGCAACCACCAACTCCTCTCGAAGTGCTTCTAGAGTCTGAGGAGGACGTTGCAAATTGAGCAATCTCCTACCCATCATATCCCATACGTGCTCAATTGGGGATAAGTCGGGAGATCTTGGTGGCCATGGTAACAATGTGACATCATTATGTTGAAAGAAGTCTATTGTGACTCTTGCAACATGTGGTCGGGCATTATCTTGTTGGAAAGTTGGATCTGTCAGGGTGTCAAGATAGGGTAAAAGATGGGGTTCTAGAACTTCGTGGGTATAACGCTGCGCGTTCATGTTGCCTCTGATGCAGATTAAAGGTGACCTGGAACCATAAGGTATAGCACCCCAAACCATAACTCCAACAGTGTGATGAACATGTCTTTCAACAAAAAACTGTGGATTCCTCCTTTCACCACGTCGCCTTCTAACCCTGGCACGACCATCGTGCATGCCTAAACAAAATCGAGACTCGTCACTAAAGACAATACTGTTCCATTCCTGATCCCAGAGTGACCGTTGTCTGCACCACTCAAGGCAATTACGTCGGTGTTCTCGAGTTAAAGGGAGGACCCAGTGTTCTGCAAACCATTCGTTTGCAATGGACCTGGTAGTGGAGAAACGGTCCCTTAAGGCCAATAATCTTAGGCGGCGATCTTCACGGTCTGTTGTTCTACGGCGGCGTCCAGTGCCCCTTGCTCTTTGCGTACGGCCTTCTCGAAGCCATGCCTGACAACACCTAACCACAGCGTCTGCACTTCTTTGCACTCTAACTGCAATTGCCCGAAAAGAAAGTCCAGCTTCCCAAAGTCCCACTATACGGCCCCTATCAAGCTCACTAAGTTGACGAAATCGTACAGGTCTCCGTACTCTAGGCATCGTAACCGATCGTAAAGGATGTCAAGAACCAAAATCCGCCAACGTTGATTCTTTACTGCGGCTGAAATATTCATTTTTAGAGCGTTAGTGAATTAAAAAAAAGCAGTATAAAAACTGGAATGTCCAACTGATAAGGCTGAACATATTTTTACTTGTTACTTACAGTAAGATAAATACATTCACCAACTTTTATTAAAATAAAACCATTTAAACTGGGTGTTCGGATTTATATGTCACTTAGTACAATAACACAAAACGTTTGCCAAATTTAGGTAAACGATAAAATTTTATTGAACAACGATCTGTGTAAGAACATTCTTATTTTTTGAAGTCTTCAATCTATTAATACTGCTTAATTGTGAAAGTTTTATATAGGTGATTTTTGGTAAATCAACTTCTACTGACGAGTTTAAACAAATGACCCAACTTTGAAAATTTTTCGGCCTAAACGTTAGACGCAGAATTCCTAAGCTGACGAACCGCAAACTTACGACACGAAAAAACAACAAAAAACCCTTAAATGCACGAGATCACATCCGATCAACCGCATCACATTCACACGAGCGCACGTCAACCGCGAACACGTGTCGTGCGTTACATCGAACAGTAGCAGGAGCGGAGCGTCCGTAACCGTCGCGACGACGTAGATGGACGTCGCATATCGGCGTCTCAGGATATGCCGCGACGCTCGCCGTCCACGCGAGACATTCAGCGTCCGAAGCAACAGTTTCTCTATCTGCTTACTGCCCGCCAGCGACGCGATGCTGGATGCTGTTGGGCTATTTTAGCATCCGTTGCCGGCGACGCTGCTGGCTTTGCTTGGCCACAGATACATATTTACTCACACAGGGTGGCCCGACTCAAACGCAATTAAATAACAGATTTGCTGTGTTGGGTTATTAATTCGTAAAACTCCGACCTTCTATCAAAATCGTCTTCATTATTCATGACATAAACGAGCAGCTTCACTCAATTTGCCAAGAGTCGAATGCACACTTCCTAAACATCTCAAGCAGCCTACGAGGATATCACTATAGGAGTAATTCTAATCTCCTAAATAATGATGGAAAGGTAAGAAACACGGATAGAATACAGAAGCTGGCACTGAATGAAAACGTTTCATCAAGGAATAGTCCAAATGCCACAGGCAACACACAGGATAAATGATATCTAGTGAACACCAAGCAATACCTCCTACACATAACACCACCACCGACAGCACTAAAATCTTAAACAACACAACTGCTACATCTTCCACCGTTACTCCAATAGCGTCGCAAACAAAGACCCAATCTCCAAAAAAAAACGTGCAATTTTTCAAATGCGAGCCTCACAAAAACAAACATCAAAGTAATACATTTGCAGTCTCCTGAACAACTTTAACGAAATTGAACTTCTCGTATATGAGTGGGCGCCAGACGTATTATGTGTCACAGAAACGTGGTTACCTTCAGATGCCATCCCGATATTCAACTTAGAACTCTACCGGCTCGTATCGTTCTTCTGTCGATCCCAGTATATACATGGAGGGTGCGCCATATATGTTAAATGTGAGCTGGCTGCTAAAAGTATACCATTTATCAACCACCAATCAGAAGAGAAACACATAGAGGAATAACTCTGCAAATAAATGGTTTAGAGGAAAACATCACGGTAATATGTTTGTATAGATCACCATCTGGCGAAGTATCAACATTTCTGGGTAACTTAACAAATATCCTGGATAGAGTTCTAATCGATAATAATAGAATAATACTATGTGGAGACCTAAACATTGACAACTTGAAACCAAACATGAACCATTACGTTGTCATGGAGCTACTCGTAAGCTATCAATAAACACAACAAAATAACGGAAACAGCAATATATTATTACCAACATTAACGTAAACCATTTAAAGTGTACAGTCTTTGAACCTCACATATCAGACCATACAGCGCAACTCTTAGAACTAACTACATCGACAATAATGGAAGAGCACCGTAAGGAATCAAATATTTCGGCTTACACCCATAGAAAAATAAACGCTGAACACCTGAAAACCTTCAAATCCAAGTTAGCCCAAGAAGCATGGGATATCAGTGAGCAAGATATTGATGCTGGATTTGAACAATTTATCAACACTATCCTGTGGCACCTAGATATAACATGTCCCGGCGAAAGTATGGTATTTAAAAAAAAGCAAAATTCAAAGCCTTGGGTAACTCCTGAGATACAAAAATCTAGCCAAAACTTAAGATCCTTGTACTCCTCATGGAAAAGGAAAGACACTAGTCAGGTACTCAGGCAACTTATCTTGAACAGAGAAAAGTTCATAGAAGGCTAATATCATCAACCAAGAGGATATACTATGCACATACCATTTCGGAAGCTACAAATAAGCCAAGACGAATATGGGATATAGTAAATCAGGAAGACGCAACGAAATATTGCAAACACTGTCCCAAGGAAATTACAAACTTCGAGATACCTGATCAATTTGGAAAATACTTTGCTACCATCGCACATACGAAGTTGGAGACGCACTTTCAAGGGATGCCGGCATCGCATTATACAGTTCAACGACTTTCTACGAACTCGATGGTCTATGAAGAAGTTACGGCTGCAGAGATCATAGAAATAATAGATGACCTTCCAAATAAAAAATCCTGCGGCAGTGATGACATATCAACGCGAGTGGTGAAACCTATAAAATGTGAGATATCAACTCCACTTTCACAGCTTATAAATAAGTCAGTGCTGAAAGGTAAATTTCCAAAGTGTCTCAAACTTGCCATTGTAATTCCTATATTTAAGAAAGGAGATCCGACTGATATAGAGAACTACACACCTATATCTCTGTTATCTATTATATCAAAAATTATAGAAAAGTGCCTGCTTAGACGAATCGTTAGCTTTTTAAATAAGTATAACACCATATCAGACAGTCAACATGGGTTCCGGTCTTCACGATCCATAGAAACAGCGTCATTTGACTTTTTTAACAAAGTTTACGAGAATATTGATTCTAATAAATATGTTGCAGGCTTGTTTTTCGATCTTTCGAAGGCATTTGATATAATAGACGTAAACTTCGTCGAGCAGAAGCTGTATAACCTCGGTATTAGGAACTTTCTTTTACGCTGGCTTGTTTCTTTTCTATCAAACAGACAGCTTAAAACAAGAGTGAATGGTTCTTCGTCGGGGGTGTATGACACAAGCATTGGTGCAGCCCAGGGCTCGGTACTAGCGCTACTCCTGTTCATTTTGTTTATGAACGACCTAAAACTATCTGGCCATATGGTCAACTACGCTGATGATACGTCAGTAGTGGTTAGTGCCGCAACACCAGTTGACCTGCTCCAAGCAATTGAGCGGGTTGAAACAGAAATGAGCGACTGGTGTGTATCAAACTGCCTTATACTAAACGCTGATAAAACAATGTATGTGCATTTCTACAATAGCAAACCACGGTTGCACAACGATATCTTCTCAGACGGAACCGAATTCTTAGGAACTCATGTTGATGGGAAGTTGGGCTGGCAGTCACATGTGAATCATGTTATTAAGAAACTCAATAGTGCATACTTTGCAATCTTGAAACTCAAACAAAACATCTCCCAAACAGCTCTTATGGATATCTACTACGCCTTGGCTTACCCGCATCTTAGCAATAATATACTCGTAATACTATGGGGACAAGCAGTCATGAACAACAGAGTCTTCATCTTGCAGAAAAGAGTACTCAGGCTGATTTTCAATATCAACAAAAGAGACTCTTGTAAAGATATTTTCAGAACATATAATCTGCTAACATTAATATACATCTATATATATATATATATAAAAGCGCTCTCTTCGCATTTAAACATAGGACCAGTTTCATTCAAAACAACACAGTTAACAGGCATTACAACACCAGAATAGGTTTTGACTTAAGTATACCAGGCCACGCAACAGCCCAGTTTCAGAAATCACCACTCTATGGCTGTACAAAAATTTACAATAAACTACCAATTGAGTTCCGCAGAAGCACTAATATGTTGACATTAAAGAAACGTCTGAGAAGATATCTATCAGAAAAGTGTTACTACACCGTCGACGAATACCTAACTGCTTAATCTTATTTCTTTATTCTTTTTATTATTTATTAAGCTTAACGGAAAAGAAACAGTCTATTTATTGCTCCTCTTCTAGACATTTTAAGTGCTAAATTGTTTTTATTTATTTAAAATAGATTTTTTTTCATGTTCGTTAGATGTCATTGAGAATTTGTTTGTGTTTGTAATGACTCCTATTTTATTTATTTGTTTATTAGTTATTATCTCAGTTACTGCTTTAATTAACTACCTGTTCTTTTTTGCATATCGCATACTTATGTATTGTATATGTAATGTTGACAAGTCTTATGTCATAGCTATTATGACCAAAAGACAATAAAGACTATCTATCTATCTATCTATCTTAAGATCTTTCAAAGTTCGTTCTACTGTTGAACGTGTAAATCCTGAAGAAGTAGCCAGTCGAAGAGTGATCACGGCGAATCTTAGATACAGATCCAGTTTCTTCAAATTGTCTTATCAGTTTAGACACATACTTATCGTTAATACTTTGTCTGTTTATAACGCATTTAACAAACGGGCAGTAGCTCTTGCAATGTTTCCATTTTGTTCTTTATACCCTTTCTTGAAGGGAGTAAGTCAAGGGCTGACCCAAGCGGGTGACAAGCCCTACTTTCTTCCCCCACGTCTCGTCACATGCCAGTAGCCTGCTGTATGTCTTTCTGACCACGCATCCTGTCCATTACATCACTGCTGTGCTCTCCCATGCGTAACTCAGACCACGGTGTGTGGAGGTTAGGTTTCGGTCAGAACCCGCTGTGGCAGCAGAAACTCGTACAGGCCGCAAAACTACGGCACTACGACATGCCGACTGGGAGGGGCTCAGAGACTTCTTCTCTAGATTTCCTTGGAGAGATCTATGTTTCACTGACGCGGAAGCGTCGGCTGTCTGCTCTTCGATAACGAATGGAGGAACACATCCCTCACACAGTGAATTTGCTCATGTCAAAGTGATGGAGAGGTGCATAAATCTCGAGTTTCTGGACAACCTCGAACGTCACAGCTTGATTAGCGACAGGCCTTGAGAATTTGCATGGGAGTCATGAAACCAACACCATGTCCAGCAATCTTAGCTGAAGCAAGGGAACCTCCTCTTGCATTACGAAGAAGGTACTTCGCAGAGAAGGCTGTTGTCAAATACAGAACCTATAACAAATACTTGCTTAATAAGATATCACAATTAGTAACTACAGACTTGACTAACAAGTACTGGAAAAAAAAATCCTCACCACTGCTAGCTGAAGCTTTCGTAGAGACCAGTCATCTCGCTAATTTAATTCATCCTATGGATAATTACCCGTTATATGTTGGCCCTTATGAAGTTTTCCTTAATGAAACAACCATCACAATCCCTACATATACCGAAAACTGTTATTACAATAGGTCTGTTCTATCTGCCGTATTGGAACATCTCAATTGCCACACTGTCGTCTATACCTGAGATGGGTACTGGGTGCGCGTTCTACGTCCCACAAAAAGATTATTGCAAGGGATACAGGATTCCTGACCTGTGCTCCATATTTACAGCAGAAGCCTATGCGATTTTCTGGTGCCTTTCGCAAAATATTAATCATGCAACAATTATTACAGATTCGAGATCTTAGAAGCAATTAAACAAAATCCTGTTAGATCCTATGATAATTTTTTAT